CTCGCCTGCTTCATTCTCAAGAACGAAAAACGCAATTTCCAACATCTTCAGAAGATCGGCCTCAGGTTCCGCAATAGCGAATGCTGTCGAGGAGGGTGCTTCCAATGCGAAGTCTAGCTTTCCTAAAGTCAGCGACAAGACAGTGGCATACTGGTTGCTAGGCAGTGCAGCTAGCGTTTTTGGTATTGTGGTTTTTGGTGGCCTCACCAGATTGACAGAATCTGGGTGCGCCTTCCCCCAAAGAAGTATCCTAATAATAATATAATACTGACAACCAACTGGTATAGCCTGAGCATCACAGAATGGCGCCCCGTTACCGGATCTCTTCCCCCTATGAATGCAGAAGACTGGGAGTCAGAGTTCGCAAAGTATCGCGCATCTCCTGAATTTCAATTGTTGAACCCGCACATGACCCTTTCTGAATTTAAGTCGATCTACTACATGGAATGGATTCACCGTCTTTGGGGTCGGTTTGTTGGTCTGTCGTTCGTTCTTCCGGCTCTCTATTTCGTAGCTCGCAAGAAGGTTAGCAAGCCGATGGCATTGCGGCTTGGTGGTATCGCTGGCTTGATTGGTTTCCAAGGGTTTATCGGTTGGTGGATGGTCAAGTCCGGACTCAAGGATGATCTCTTTGCACCAGGCAGCCACCCCCGGGTGAGCCAGTACCGTTTGACGGCGCACCTTGGAGCCGCATTCGTCTGCTACGTTGCGATGCTTTGGAACGGTCTTGCTATACTCCGCTCTCACCGCCTGCTGGCTGATCCTGAGGCTGGCACCAAGTTGCTGGACACGCTCCGTGACCCCAAACTCAAGATCTTCCGTCGCTCGGTTGCCGGTTTGGCTGCTCTTGTCTTCGTGACGGCCATGTCTGGTGCTCTGGTTGCTGGTCTGGATGCTGGCCTCATCTACAATGAGTTCCCCACTATGGGCACAGGACTGGCTCCGCCCAAGTCGGAGCTCTTCGACGAAAGGTATTCACGCCATGAGGACAGGTCTGACCTGTGGTGGCGAAACATGCTTGAAAATCCGTCTCTTGTTCAACTGGATCATCGTATCTTGGCTATGACTACCTTCACTACCATTATGGCTTTGTGGGCATACACTCGTCGGTCCCCTACCATGAAGCGACTCCTCCCACCTGCTGCTAAGAAGGGTGTGCACGGAGTTGTTGCATTTGCGTTCTGCCAGGTTGGCCTTGGTATCTCAACATTGCTCTATCTTGTTCCCACTCCTCTTGCGTCTGCCCATCAAGCTGGAAGCTTGTTCCTTCTGACTTGGGTTCTGGTTCTGGGAAGCCGGGTCTGGCACCCGTCGAGGACTGCCAAGCTACTGCAGATGGCAGTCAAGGCCCGTGGCCAGGCAGTGTCCAGTGCAGCTGCTCATGGTCCTCGGAAGCTTTGAGTGTGTTTTCACACCACTGAAAAATGGGGCAGGTCATTACTGGCCTAGCTAGCCTGTTTGAAACACCATGCTATACTAACGAATGTTGGATCATTCTTGAATGTGTTATACTCTCTACTTTTATATTGTACAATAGGAAAACTTGCATTTTATCTTGAACAGGCTGGTCTATATGTATTCCGGTTAATAACATCACTTATCCTTGCAACAAGATCGCCCATTAGCTGTCGCATGGAGCCTGACTGACATTAAATATCAAGCAACAAAGGAATCTGCAGAGCGGCTAGGAGCCTTAGCTAGGGCCTGTTATTTTGCATTGTTTGCTTGATGGCAGTGGTACCTGACTCACCTATCGTCACGTGCAGCTCTCCGAAGAAAAACCTCCGTAGTTATCGCGAGTGGAATGACAAGCTATTGTTGTCGGTTTCGCGACTCTCATTTTTGCGGCAAGAAGACCAAGGCTAACTGCGGCAATTTTCCATACGGCCCTTTTGCGGTTTTTTCTTGATCACCGAAGCCATTCCGAGACGCCTTCTCCGAGCCGCACCAGCCGAATTTATTCCAACTCTTTCACCCCACCATTGCCCGCGGGGCTCAAAGACATTATGGTGCACTCAACGCCAGTACCAAGCAGTGGCTTCCAAGCTCTGATCCTCTGTGGTCCCGGCGAGAGCTTGAATACAATTTCCTCCAATCCGGAAGAAAATCCAAAATGTCTAATTCCCATAGCAGTACGTGTTGGCGAATCTCAGAGCCGACTCCAGTAGCAAGTCACTAACATCAATTGATGTTCAGCTAAGGCCAATGGTGTACTACCCGCTAGATTGGTGCAAGCGCGCAGGAATAACTGGTGAGTAATGGCTACACGCCTCCTTCAGGGTGTTGTGTGCTGCGGTTTAGGGATAATTTCTAACTGTTCAGATATCGTACTGATTACACCTCCCTCCGCTCTCACTCCTCTTAAGGCCGCTCTACAACAAAACCCTTATCTTACATCGCTCCCTTCGCCCTCACCTACCGTTATAGCCCCGAAGGATCTCAAGATGACGACAGGAACAGCGGAACTCCTCCGACTACCAGAGGTACAAGCTTGTATTCGATCTAATTTCTTGCTCCTAAGCTGCGATCTACTATGCGATATCCCCGGCGAACATTTACTCGAGGCATGGTTAGTCTCACAAGGTGAATTGGGCCCAGCTTCCCAAGGTGGCTTGTCCGTGTTCTATCCCGCAAAAGGCATTAAGGACGAGGTCAAGAAAGAGCCGACAGACTTCATGGCAATCACCTCTCTCGAGCAAGATGAGGTCCCCGCCCTCTCGCGATATAAACTCTCAAAACTGGTTTTATCGATGCCGATGGATACATTGAAAGAGCGGATAGAGGAAGATAAGAGCTTCTTACTCCGTCATACTTTAGTTGAGAAGCATGCCTCGGTCAAAATGCTAACCAGCTATCGTGATGCACACTTATACATTCTGCCTAAGTGGATCCAATCGCTTGCCCAGTACCAGGAGCGGTTTGAATCCGTGAGTGAAGACTTGATCGGATACTGGGCGAAAGCGGAGTGGCAGCGCGGGCTGAGTGAAAAGCTCGGGATTAATAAGATATTGGGCGGGCAGAATGAGAATCAAGAAGATCACGGAAGCAATGACGGCGATTTGTTGGAGGAAGAAATCGATCTTCGTGGCATGACCACTACCCACGCCCAGGGTTCCGAGGCCCAGTCTACAAAATCCACTCTCAATGACCAGTCTTCGGTGGAAGTGCCATCGATCCTAGCATACATGACCAAATCGTCTGAGCAACTCGTTCGACGCGTTGACAGTTCCGCTTTGGTGTTAGCGATGTCACTGCGTCTCGCCAAGCTCGATTCTGTTGAAGACGTTGGCCGTGTTGCTGCTTCGCCATTCAGCCATGCCTCGAAGATTGCTACCCCTGAAGGAATTGCATCTAAATCTATTGTCACAAAAGGCGACTGCTTACTAGGATCCAACGTGACGGTAAAACACCCAGTCTTTCATTTTTTGAACGGTTCAACTAACGCCTTGAAAGGTGGAAGAAAAATGTGTTATAAAAGAATCGTGCATTTCGCCTAATGCAAAGATTTGCAGCGGCGCTCGCTTGACAAGGTGGGCATTCTAAACTCTACCTACATCCTAACGCTGCATAATCTCTAATCTAAATTAGATGTGTGATTATGGACAACGCGGTCATCGGACCAAAGTGTGTGCTCACAGGATGCATCGGTAAGTCAGCCACAATTCAGAAACACAAAGTATGTTAGTTCGTGAACTAATAATGTTACAGTGGGTAGATACAGTCAAGTCGGACGAGAGTCCGTTCTTAAGGTGCGTACGAACTATACCCAAAAGTTGGATCGACTACTAACCGAATTTCCCAGGACTGTGAGGTCCAAGATGGCGTTGTGGTTGAGGAAGAGACCGACGCCAAGAATGAACAATTCATGAGCTTCGAGGGTCTTGATGAGGACGACGAAGATGATGATATGGATGTCGAGGACGACCAAGATAATGATGACGAGGCTGTTTTCTAGATGAATACGATACCAAAAATAAATACCAGCGTCTTAGACATCTTAGAGTTAGGATTTATTGCTCTTATTCAGTCCTCTTCACTACCTTCAAGCCATTTGCCGATCAAGCCTTCCATCTTCACCAGATCCTTCCCTCTAAACATAATTCCCGGTTAACGCTCGCCGGTCTATGAGGTAATAAGAGCCTACTAGCTGCTCTGAGAGTGATATCTAGCCGGTCGTACGCTGCAATTCCAGCCCTGCTACCTCCACTGGAGCTCTAAACAGGTTGATACATATCCATCCGCTCTCAGATTGTGCTGCGTGGGAAATCCACAGAGTTTAAGTGACAGGAAAACCTGCTCTCCACATCTATCCTCATATGGGCTGAGAAATACCAAGAATGAGTAAAAGTATTATATAATGCAAGTTTCAATCGTATGATATGTTTTAACACCATCCCCCGGAAATTTTCTAGCTTAAAGAACCGTACTGACCTCAACTATTCAAATTATGTTTACTGCACGGCGGCAAGGAGCGGAAATCTCAATTACGCAGCTTGGATATCAAACAGGACTAGCAGAGTGATTACCCTATTGAATGGGTCTGCGTTATGTTTCGAATGTTCAAGACGTCTCTCCAGGCCCGACATGGAAAACAAACGCTGATTCGTGAAGAGATGTACAAACAGATAAACAACAAGTTACATGGCTTATCAGGAACGGGATATTGCTGTTAATATGAAACAAACAAACGCTTAATACCACAGGATAAGGTCAGGAAGAGTAAGTGTAGTAGTCCAGTGTAATAGGGCATAGGATAAAGGTATCCCGGATTATCACAATAACCAACCATTTCTAAGTCCAGTTATAATAGCCATTTTGGCACATTGTGATCATCAGGTTGTCCTTAACTCGTCAAGATCAGTAACTGTAGACCACAGTCAAAAGCAACAATCCTGGAGTGAGGAATAAGCGAGATTGGGGTATGCTAACGTTTTTATGCCGAGTTGTCAGCCCATGGTGAATCCATTCTTTATTGACTATCGTTTCAACTTGATACCCAATCACAAACGAGAGTATCTTCCTGGCTGCTTCCGACAGTAAGCCTGGGCTTTAGTCTGCTGCCCCAAGGCTTTCGATTTAGTCGTAGTCGTATCATCATCAGCCTCCTTCGTAGTTCCAACTTTTCTGCCACTGAACTTGTTCAAGTGTCGTGCTTCATGTCCTCGTTGGACTTGCCGGAGATCCCGACTGTGCAAACTACCTTGACTCAAAGGGTCATTCAAAGGACTCCAACTATCAGTCTCTTCCTCCTCGAACTGGTCTTTCTCCGGCAGATACTCCGTGGCGTCATCATCAAGAATAGAATCTACGTCCCATACATCCTCATTGCATCGTTTCTTACGGTCTGATCTGAGGGTCAGTATAACAGATCTTCTTACTCTAGCCACAAGCAAGATTTAACGCACTTTCGGAACCACTAACCTCCTCTGCAGAAACCTCCTGGTCAGGATCTGCTTTGTTAGGCACAAGTGAGGACTTCGAAGGCGTTCTCTGAGTTTTCTTCGGAGTTTTATTCTTAGTCGGACGACCTTTCTTGGATTTTCTGGTATTCCTAGAGCCTTTCTTCTTCTTAGGCGAACTGCTCTTCTTCTTCGTTTTCAAGATTTCCTCAGCAGCAGCATCTAGATTGTCCTGGCTAGTGGGACCAGTGTGAATATTGCCGTTGACGTGGTGAGTGCGAAAATAACCACGAGCAATTGTGCACGGGTTGCAAGTCTGCCAGCCGCAGGTCAGACAGCGAGACATTCCGGAAGAATTGCGCTTGTTGCAAATGTCACATTTCGCCGTATGGGTGGCTAACTCCTCGAACTCACATAGTATTACTTCCTTCCCCATTACAGGCATAGGAAACTGGAGCATGTCGCCCGGCTCATTGGTGGTCTCTGGGACGGTTGTCTCTTCAGGGGGACTCTGCTCGCGAGGATCACCAAAATCCATAATAGTGTCCTCACGGGCACTTTCTGGTCTGGATACTATCTTAGGGTTCTCAACTGTGACAGGTTCCAGCTCAGAATTCCTCATGTTGTGTAGGATCGCTGCATGCTCTATCACCGTGCGATCTGGCCGTGGACACAACAAGAAAGACGGGGAGGGATCCCGATGACGCTCATAGGACTCAACAATTTCAGTATCGGGCACTAAGATGTGATGCTGCTCAGGACGAGGACTGTTCACGACGCGAGGCGTCACAGTGACTCTCCAGCCTAAGGGAATGGGGTCTCCGAAACGCCAATTCACATACTCGTTTGGAAAGCGAGGCGCAGGTCTATGAAGATACTGGCCCTCGATAGTGGTGAAGTGTCTACCGCCGGGGCTCAACTCTGTCTGTCCGAACAAGCTTTCATGAAGGGAGAAAGAATCTATTGCTCCATTAGGGTCTGTGCTCTGCCTCTATCAAATTGTCAGAATGTTACAGTCATGAGAGTACCAACCGCTGTTGTTGAAGAATGACATACCAAACAAGCTGGGCCAACAGCAGGTCTTATAGGTTGGGGGTGGAATAAATGCTGGCTGGTCTGATGATACTGGTTTGTCTGAGGAGGGGGGAGATAGCGGAGTTGTCTGAAAAGGTCATTGTTGTCACCCGTCTCGTCTCTATCCATCATGCTGATAAATGTATCAGAGACAGCTGCCTAATCACACGTCGTCAGCCCCGTCAAGAAGCCTCAGAAGGTCAAAACAAATAAGGGATAAAGATAAAATTACCTGAGACACAGGAAGTACAACTAGTGGAGCAACACAGATGAACAAACTAGGATTTACAACTTTGTAAGCACAATTACATATAGGATCTGTAGATACTTGATGTATTGGGAAAAAAAAAGAAGATGTAGAGATTGATGCTAAGAGAGATACTGAAGTGTAAAGATTGAGCAGAAATGTTTTGCATCAGATGAAAGACCCCGTGAGTTCTTGTATGCTCTGGTTGCTGGCAATTCACTCTGAGTGACGTCTTATCTTTTCACGCACTTGGTCGTTTCCCATCTCGACATACAATACTCCTATGAAAGCACAGTCACAATTGATTCTACAGTATACAGATCGCTGTATGATATGAAACAAAGTATGTAGTGGTTTGAGTGCTGGTATCTGATCATGGCTATATGTACCTCTGTCCAGATGTCCTTGATTATCCTTTTCTGAATGGGTCAATGAAGGGTAGGGGTGGCTATGATGTCACTGGGCATCTGAGAAAATTCACTGTAATATAACAAAGGATAAGAACAAAAGACGTGTTGGAGCCTATGAACGATTAAGCTAAACTGCTTCCTGATATCGGTGGATGATTCTCGTATGAACCGGGATGGAGATAAGAACAAGTTTTTGAAGAGTTTAAAATGTATTATATTTTGAGAGTTAGAAGAATTGATATGTGATGTTTGTAGTTTCTTATGATTATTTGATCTTCACCTTCTTTGCTTGTTGGAAGATGGCAGAAGTCGACTTGACGATTGTTATAGAGTATAGTGGTTTGGCTGAACAAGAACACACTCAGAAGGCATGGGTCTATCTGCAAAGGGTTTACTTGGAGAGCAGTGAAGAATTGTGATCACGCGGGTTTGTATGTTTTGAGTGGTGTAAGAGTAGTCCGAATGCTCCGATATGTCTCAATCTACTGGGAAGCAAATGAGGACCAGAATGTGTCCAATGTACGTCTTGTGTTGAACTACAAGAGAAGTGAAACGCTCAAGTTACTCATACTCTTCTTTCTATTCTGAGGTATTGGTTATCCTCTTCTTGTGCATCCCTTCATTGACATTGAATTAAACGTGCAGAACAAAAAGTCGTCAACAAACCATCATCCCATGTAGCTCATAAATCTATTTGTGGGCTAAACATGACATGGAATGTTAGTACTCTTTCAATTAGAAGTAGCATTTTAATGGAGCAAAGACTTACGAATTCCTTCCTCCGGCTGGGGCTCAATACCAACCACCTCGGCGGCGGTCTTGGTCTCGGCTGCCGTCTTGTCTTCCTTCATGAAGGGGAAAGCAAGGACTTCCTTGATACTATAGTTGTCGGTGAGGAACATGACCAAACGGTCGATACCCATACCCCAACCACCAGTGGGGGGCAGACCATATTCCAAGCTAGTACAGAAGTTCTCGTCGATGAGCTGAGCCTCGTCGTCACCCTGGTCCTTCTGGCGGGCCTGTTCCTCGAAACGGAGACGCTGATCGAAGGGGTCGTTCAACTCAGTGTAGGCGTTGACGATCTCCTTCTTGCATACGAAGGCCTCAAAACGCTCGCAAAGACCCACGTTCTGGCGGTGATACTTGGCAAGAGGCGACATCATCTGGGGGTGGCCGGTAATGAAGGTTGGGTTGACGCAGGTCTCCTCGATGAACTCGCCGACCAGTTTATCAAGCATACGAGCGTTAGTCAATGGGGGAGAGCACTCAACGCCGGTCTTCTTCAGCACCTTCTTGAGGAATTCGCCCGTCTCAGCGGTGTGCAGCTGGTCACCTGACGGGAACTTCTCACCAGTGGCCTCCTCAAGGGCTGGGATCATCTCCACGCGGCGCCAGGGGGCCTTCCAGTTGACGTTGTATTCCTCGCCAGACTGGGTATGGAAAACGGTCTCGTAACCGCCGGTGACGTGCTTCACCAGGCCGGAGACCAGCTCTTCAGTCAGGTTCATGACATCGTAGACATCGGCGTAAGCCCAGTAGAACTCGCAAGTCGTGAATTCGGGGTTGTGGGTAAGGTCAATGCCTTCGTTACGGAATTGACGACCCATTTCATACACACGCTCAAGGCCTCCAACGATGAGCATCTTCAGGTACAACTCGGGAGCCACACGCATGAACAGGTTCATGTCGAGGTCGTTGTGGTGAGTGACGAAGGGCTTGGCGGTCGCACCACCGGCGATGGCATTCATCATGGGGGTTTCGACCTCGACGAAGTCGCGGGTGTCAAAGAAGTTGCGGATATATGAGACAATCTTGGAGCGGGTGACGAAGACATTGCGCGAACGGTCGTTCATGATCAAGTCAAGGTAACGTTGACGGAAGCGCTGCTCCTTGTCCTGGAAACCATAGTGCTCGGAGGGGATAGCGTGCAAGCAAGGAGCCAAAAGCACGATCTCAGAAGCGAAGATAGACAGCTCACCATCGGGGCGGTTCTTGGGGTTACTGCGACCAGGGAAGCCGACAATACCAACAACATCACCTCTCCGGAGATGCTCATGCTGAGCCTCGAAGGACACATCGCCGGCAGCGTTCTGAGCTTGGCACACTACTTGCACCTTCACACCCTCTGCGCGGATGTCGTAGAAAATCAACTTGGCGCCGGAGGAACGCTTGGTGTAGATTCTACCAGCGATACGAACAGTCTTGTCGGGCAGCTGGTCACCCTTTCCGAGATGCTCGTAGTCCTTGAGGAACTGGCGCAAGTCATCGGTGACTTGGAACTTGTGAGGGTAGGGGTCGGGTTGCTTGGTCTCGCGCAACTTGTTGATTCTCTTGCTGCGGATTTCGAAGTATTGCTAAAGAGAAGTTAAAAAGCTCAGGGTTAGCGGTCGACGAATTCGGCGTGTCACTACACAGTCATTCATATAGCAGGAGCAAAAAACCTACGTTGGGAGTCAAGTTGGCCTCGTCCTCTTCAGCAGAGGTCTTCTTCGCGGGCTTGGGAGGGGCAGCAGCCTCCTTCTCCTTCTTCTTGGCTTCCTTCTCACGGAGCTTCTGGCGGCGCTTCAATTCGGACTTAGAAACCTTCTCGCCAGTGACTTCGTCGAGCAAGAGGTTGGCCATGGAGGCCTCAGCCTCCTTAACTGCATTGGGTTCCGACATGGTAGATTAAATGGCCTGTCGCTCTGAGATCTTCCAACGGAGAAGAGTGAGGATAAAAGAGACGGCGGAGGTTCGGTGGGTGAGCCAAAGAATTTTGGGCGGGAGTCACAACTTTTTTTCATTGGGTCATTAACTACCCCACGTTAAGAATCAATGACATCCTCCAATTCCTATGAGTCATAATATTCTTTACACCTGGACTTCTTATAAAATACTCTTAGTATACATATATAATTGACGGCTTTCTACCTGAACTGTCTCCTGAAACTAAAGCCATCATCTCGTAGTCATTTATGATGACCATATTGACTCGAGGGCTTAGGGCTTAGGGCACCCAGGTGGGGTTTCCTTTGCCCCTCCATAGATAGAGGGGAAACGCAAGATATCTCTAAAAGGAGAATACTGTCGCAAAGAAGGGACAGAAAAGTAAAAAAGAGGAATCAAAATAAATATCACTATTACTTGGCATTGAATCTCTGGTATGAGTGCTTTTACTGTTTTATTCAAAATGTAGTCGTGACCTGAAATATATTGTAATTATTTATATAGTCTATATTAAGCGGGACATACAACTACTACCTAGTATCAGGTTTTTGTATGTCTTTGACAATGCTTGCATTGTATAGGGAAGTCAAACAAGCATAGGTAGGATGGCATGCTTGAAGAAATATTTCAATAGGCTCTACTGGTTTAGTTGTTGATACATAGGCCTAGCTTCAACATGGCTACAGGTGCATCTCAGTTAACAAAGCGACTTCAAACACTATTTGTAGTATTGGAGGCAATAAATCTCACAGAATAGTAGTTAGTAGCATTGGATAAGTTTGTGTAAATGTTTATTGGATAATGTCTACAGAATCTAAGAAGACCTGAATAAAAGGAGATACTGAAAGCAGTGGACTGAAGCAGAAACAAGATACAAAGCCTAAGACAAGTTGATGGTACAAAGCCTACTATCCTAGGACCTCAGATGGCTCTTGTAAAGCTTATAATTCCATGATTCCATGATCTTCAATGTAGAGTATATCTACGTTCCCCTGGTGACTTACTCCTTCTGCCTTCACCTGACCCCTTGTGTTGTATGAAACATTCACTTTACCTGGTTGACCCCCTCCTTTGTTATTTCTCACTTCTCATGTCTACTTACACCTGGCTATCCCCTGCTTATCGAGTGTTACTCTCGTCACCACCTTATCTTGATCTCTCAGCACGAGAAAGTAGCCTTAGGGACGTCGAAGATGTCGCAGCTGGGAACTCCTAGCTACTCTACGACAGACAGTATATCAGCATCCCTCTACTTGTGGATATACAAGCTAACAAATTCATTAGCTATCCTTCAGGACTCTCCATCCAAAATGAGGTCATTAGAGAATAAGGCGATCCAGGTGATCGCACGGGACATGAAGGCTCTGGTCCGGAAGATACAAGATCTCCGCCATATTGGCATAGAGGATAACCGGATTGCTCTACCCAAGATCTGTGTGATAGGAGACCAAAGTACGGGCAAGAGTTCACTCATAGAAGGAATGTCTGAGATAAAGGTTCCCAGAAGCGCTGGTACTTGTACTAGGTGTCCAATGGAAATAAATCTCTCTGAGAGCGAGCCCGGCCAGCCTTGGGCATGTCAGATCTATCTATCACGAAGGTATATGTACGATGGATCGCGAAAGTTTAGAACTCCCAGAAAAGCTCAGCCACTTGGTCCATGGATCGAACAAGATCAGGAGGATGAACACTTCATCACCCTGTCCGACAAGGACCAAGTTCAGGAAGCCATTAAGTGGGCCCAACTTGCGATTCTGAATCCAGGA